GCCGAGCCTCCCCCCATAATTGATATGTTTTAGGAAATAAACATCAAATTTTTGTTGTTTGTATTTTTGTTTTTTGAGACAGAATCACCCTTGGTAGAGTGCTGTGGCTTCAGAGCTCACAGCAACCTCTAACTCTTGGGCTTAAACAATTCTCTTGCCTCAGTCTCCCAAGTAGCTGGGACTACAGGTGCTGGCCACAGTGCCTGGCTATTTTTGTTGTTGTTGTTGCAGTTGTCATTGTTGCTTCCCTGGCATGGGCCGGACTTGAACCTGTCAGCCTCAGTGCATATGGCTGGCGCTTTAACCTCTGTGCTATAGGTGCCAAGCCTAAACATCAAAATCTTTCAAAAAATTTTTCTTTGAGATTGAGTCTCACTCTGTTGCCTAGGCTAGACTGCCATAGTGTCAGCTAGCTCACAGCAACCTCAAAGTCCTCAGCTCAAGGGATCCACCCGCTTCTGCCTCTGAGAGTATTGGGATTATAGGTGTGAGCCACTGTGCCCAGCTTAAAAAATATTTTCCTGATCCTTCAGGTTGCCCTGCCTTGCTAATTCTTGATCTGATGGTGTGAAGTTGCAGAGCCTGAAAAGTGGGAGATGATTCCTCTGTGGCTGTAACTTGTGTGGTGATGAACATGTTCTGTGTCTGCACTGTTTACAGTGGGTACAACTTACCACAGATTGTTGTCGAGCACTTCAAATGTGGCTAGTGAGGCTGAGGAAATGAATTTGAGATTTTATTTAGATTTAATTAAAATGAAAATTTGAATTTAAATAGCCACTACCATAGAGGCCATAGAAGGTTTAGAGCCATAGGGAGGGGACCATGACACCGAAAGGGGGAAGAAGGAAGAGGGCATGCCAGCCAGGTGGCTGTGAGCAGTTTGGGAATTTTGAGGAGGGACAAAGGACAGTTATTCCCAGTGGGGCTTCTCAGTTGGCCTTTCTATAATCTTCCTTCTCCTGACTTAGTAAGGCTGGACCAGACAGGTGGAAGGAGGGCTGACTGATCCATTAGGCACAATGCCTAGGGTCCATGCATTTGGAGGTTCCATAAAAATGTTCTAATTTTCTTTTAAAAATTTAACTCATTTACTTTTTTTAATAGATAGGTGTCTCCTTGTGCTGCCCAGTTTGGACTCAAACTCTTGGGCTCAAACAATCCTCCTTCCTCACTCTGGCTTCACCTTCCCAAGCAGCTGGGACTAAGGTACCACTACCGCAACCGGCTTTCTTTTAAAAGCAGAAGAAAAGAATTTTTTAGGCCAAAGAAAATGTTTTTATATATTAATACTTTCATCTCTATACTAACATGGTGGTTAAATATAATTAAAAACTTTTTTAATCCTGGGCGCATGGCTCACGTTTGTAATCCCAGCACTCTGGGAGGCCGAGGAGGGTGGATTGCTTGAGTTCAGTTCTAACACCAGCCTAAGCAAGAGCGAGACCCCATCTCTGAAAATAGGCCGATGTTGAGGCGATGCCTGCTCCGGAGGCTGAGGCAAGAGAATCACTTGAACCCAAGGGTTTAAGGTTGCTGCCAGCTGTGATGCCACAGCACTCTACCAAGGGCAACAAAATGAGACTGTTTCAAAAAATATTTTATATATATATATATTATATATATTTTTTTTAAATAAAGGGACCCTTCTTCCAATAGTGACTGCTTATCTTGGACAGCCACCTATCTGCGTGGCCACCTCCCCTTGGAATGCTCCTTCAGCCTGGCCTCCCTAAATGAGCCCACCTGTCCCAACACCTGGCACAAATAAGACAAGAGAACCAAGACTCCCCAACAGTCTCAGGGTCAGAGAATACTCCCACTCACAGGCTTAGAAAATGTGCCTGCAGACTGTGACAAGGGCACTGGGGAGCTGGGAAGCAGTCAGGAAGAGCGGGAGGAGAGAGGGAGGGCAATGCCGTGTTCCTGGGTCTCACAACCCCTGGGATACTGACCCAATTTTACAGAGGAAGTAGCGAGGGCTCAGAGGTTGGGGAACTTGCCCAAGCTCACACAGTTGGGATTAACTTTGGTGTGTCATCCAAGTCCCGACTCCTTTGTCGCAGATCCCTGGGACCGCTCGTCAGCTCTGTGGGGCCGCGGGGAGCTTCCAAGTTGGCCGCCTGGACCTCCCCGATGGCTGTCTCTTCCTCTCCATTCCGGAGTCCCGGAAGCCCGGCCTTCCGGAGCTAACCCTATCAGCGATCTTCGGGCCTCAGTTTGCCCTTTGCGCGGTGCTGGGGGCGGACGTCGCCCTCCGGCCCGGCTTCCGCCCTCTCCTCCCCCGCGGCGGTACAGCAGGCTGGACCGGGCGCGGCCCCTTTAAGGCGGCCTGGGGCGGGCCGCGGGTTCCCGGCTGTGCGGCAGTGACGCTACTGGGCTCCAGCCCTGCGGTGGTCGGGATAATGAGCCGTATCTACAGTGACGGTGCCCTCCGGAACAAGGCAGTACACAGCGCGCGTCTGCCCACCGTCTGGGACCCCGTCACCCACCAGGGGTAGGCCCCGCGCCCGCGCCGCCCTGATCCGCCCCGGGACTACGGGGCGATGGGGGAGACCGGAGCCGCCGGCCACGTCCCCCCTGCTGCTCCCGGTCGCCCGTGACGCGCAGCCCAGAACAGTCTGGGTCTTCAAAGGGTCTCCCAGAGCGGGTTCGGATGCTCGGCTTGCTCCAGTCTGCGTAAAGCAGGCTGTAAAGCAGCCACCACCACCTGCTGAGCCTCTTGGAAGGCGGCCTGGTCGGGCGGGGCGGGGGCGGGGTGAGGGCCGGCCAGGCGCTCACGGGGTCACGAGAACGGAAGGACCCTCGGTTCGCCATTACAGACACTAAAGAATTGTGTGAGTGGAATAAGCCAGGCTCAGAAAGATGAATACTCGGTGATCTTACTCACGTGTGGAATCTGCAAAATTTGAACCGTAGAAACCTAGATTAGAAGGGCAGTCCCAGTGGGTGGGAGGTGGAGGACATGGGAAGACAATGGTGAAAGGGTCTGAAGTTTAATTTACTAGACGAAAAAGTTTTGGGCCCCTGATGGACACTTGGGAGGTGCCAGACCTGCTCATTAACTTGATCGTGGTGATAATCACACAATGTGTATGTATATGAAATCGTCGTGGTATGCACTTTGAATATATACAATCTTTGTCAGTTAAATATTTTTTTTTAAAAGAATAGGGAGGGGTGGATAGAGGCAGGTAAGGTAGAGGGGACTCTCCCTTCCCACAACTCTCCCTTCCCACCCATCCTTCTCCAGCTATAATCTAGCCATTCTCATCCCTTTCCCACTTCTGTGCTTTTCAAAAAGGAAGAGCCAGGCTGTGCTTTTATGAAAACTAGAATGAGGTGGCCAGGGTCCAGTTCCTCTCATTGAGGGACCCTGCGACCTTAGGCTAGCCCCCAAACTTCTGAGTCTGGGTTTCTCCACCTCTAAAGCAGTAATAACCCTTTACTTAGGTTGATGACCACGTGGATGTGAATGACAACAGAAATATGAAAGTCTTTAAAACAGGTGAAAAGGGAAGATAATTTCTAGCAGCTAAGTCACCTCCCTCCAAAAATGGCTAAATAAAAAAATTAAAGTTTCTGTATTTAGTAAGCACTTAGTTTACTAAACACCTTCAATACATGATCTTATATCACATCAGAGGGCAAAGAGAGCAGCTGTTTTTCTTCCTGTTTTGTAGATAAAACTGAGTAACTCCCAGTGACCCTATAGGAGGGGGCCATTGCTTAGTCTTAGGGCTGCCTAACAGTGTTCCTTTTGCCCTCTGGGCAGTGCCTCAGCCTTTGTGACCTGCTGAGGGGATGGAGGCTCCTATGTAGGAAGCACAGAGAAAGGGTCCTGCTCAGGGCCAAGTGAATGGGAGACATGGTAGGATTTGCATGTAGCTCTTTCCTGAGGACTGGCAGAACTGGCTAGTCCTTCTTTCCTTCTCATTCCCAGGGGAAATGGCATCCTGCTGGAGGGAGAACTGGTTGATGTATCTCGGCACAGCATCTTGGATGTCCATGGCAGGAAGGTAAGGATGCCTACAGGGCCCTGGCTGGACAGTCCTCACCTGCCGAGGCCTCTTCCTGTACTGGGCTCTTCTAGTACCAACACTTGAGATCCAGCTCCTTCCCTGATGGGCTTGGAGAGCAGGTGGGAAGTGGGTGAGGAGATCATCAGCCAGACTGATTGAGAATGGAAAGGAAGTAGTAAGGTGTGCCAGGCAGCAGGCAGGTGGGAGGGCCTGGGGTCTTTCCAGAAGAGCCCAGTCATAGCTGGGAAGACAGACCAGGCCCTATACCCAATTTAGCTTGAATGTGAAGTCTACATTGCTGACAGTGCAGGAACAGCAGTCCCCATGCCTATGTCCCAGCTACATTTGTTCTCTCAGCCTCCTAGGGGTCGTTCTCTTTATCACCAGTGACCCTACCTCAGATGTTCTCGGGTATACGTGGCATTTAGCACTTATATTAGCCTGTGTTTCCTTTCTGACTCTGAGTTCCCATCCCACTGTCAATAGCTGGAGCTAGACATGCTAACCACCCTATCTCATTGGCCTCAAACTGACCTTGGCCTCTAAAAATGCCCTCTTGATGGGAGTGGGGGGCAGAGGCCTTGTGCTACACAAAGCGCCTAGGAGCCCATGTTTCTCTCCTGTATCCATGGGAACAGCCTCAGCTCTGTGGCCCCCAGTTTTCATGTTGAGATGACCGTGCTACACCTCCCCTACCCTGGGCACATCAGCAGGTAGGCACCAATCCATATCCCTGCCAGCCTGGTGGTGTCCCCATGCTGCTAAGGGCTGTCTGGCCTAGCTGCTTTCAGATGGGCAGGATGTTTTCCCAGCTCCTCCCTAGCTGGTTCCCGGTAGTAGTGCTGTTACCCTACCAGCCACTAGCCTGCAAACCTCTGCTGTTCCCCTCTCTTGCTCCATGAGCAATGCCAGGGCCTGCTGGGCTTTTGCCCTGCCTGTTCCTTCCTCTCCTTTCCTTCCCTTCCTCTTTCCACATCTACTCACCTTATGTGGGCCTTCAGCCTGTCCTGATAAAGCCTTGGACCTGCCCTCCTGCCTTCTGGCTCCCCCTAAAGCTCATCATCCCTGGCCTGCATCCAAATTGTTTTTGGAAAGACACCTCTGAGGGTCTTGCTGCTGCAGCTCACAAACCTTTTCAGGATTTCCTCTTGTCTACCAGCTAAAATCCAAACTCTAATTGCTAACTCAAAGCCTGCCTCAGATTGATCCTGCTTGCTTTCCCAGGCAGGGCTCCCACAAGGCCTCTATCATCACACGGTCATCTTGGCTTGTATGCATGGTCCTGGGCTATTCATATGCTTCCCATAGCCTCACTCTCACAGGTGCAGCTTCTCTGTCCTTCAGGCCCTCACCTTCCTTGTTCACCCAGGAGGTGGCCCCTATCTTCAGTCTCTGGGAGTGTCGCTTCCTCCTGTTTTGATTAGAATAGCTGGCAAGTGGCAATTGACAGCACACTTCATGTATTGCACTGTGCTAACTCCTCTGTTATCTCATTGAACCCTATGGCTTTCCTGAAAGTAGGCATCACATTGTCCCCCATGCAGCAGTGGAAACTGAGGCTCAGAAGGCTAGGAGTGATTGCCCCAGGCACTACATCTGTTGAGGGGCTGCCCTCTCAGTGCCCCTCCCATGGTACCTTGGCAGCATCCACTCCTGCCTTACGGAGTTTGTGGTCCTTGATGCCTGGCTTATGGTCTTTGTCTCTGGTTGTGTGGAAGTTTGGAGTCACGTCCTGTGCCTGCCCTGTCATAGATATCTGGCACAGTTCTTGTATGTGGTGGGGCCCTTGTGAACACATGAATGATGAATATTGGAGTAGGGCATCTGTCCAGTTTGACTATGCCTTGGAGCTCAGGTAGGCTTCTGGGCAGAGGGTGAGGTGGGCAGAGCAGCAGCCAGAGCCCGGAGTGTATGTTGAGTAGGTGAAGCAGGCCCTCATCTCTGTCTGCCTGGCCCCAGGAGCGCTACTACGTGCTGTATATCCGGCCCAGTTTCATCCATCGCCGTAAATTCAATCTCAAGGGAGATGAAATCGAGCCCAACTTCAGTGCCACCAAGAAGGTGAACACAGGCTTCCTCATGTCCTCCTACAGTAGGTACCTCTGTCCTCCCTCCCTCCCTTGGCCTGCCTTTCTCTCCTGAATCCCCTGGTCCCTAGAAAATGCTTTATCAGCATGGTTGGCCTTGAAGCTGGTGTCTGGCCTGAGCCTCCTTCCCCTCCCCACCCCCCCGGACTCCTTCCTGCTTCCCACTCACTCAGATGATGGCCACTGCCCTGCCTTAGTCCCAGCAGCTGGGCCAGTGTTCACTGCCCTGTGACAGAGTCTCAAACATGGCTTTGGGCTCTAGCTGCCTTCCTGCAGGGCCTGTCCAGGCCCCTAGCAGTCTTCATTTTACTGCCCAAATCCCCAATTGGTTCTTTTGTGCTGCTGTAACAAAATACCTCAGGCTGGATAATTTATAAATAGCAGAAATTGATTGCTTACAGCTTTAGAGGCTGAGAAGTCTGAGGTCCAAGTGTGGATGGTGCCTTCATGCTTGAAGGATAAGGTGGCTCCTACAGGGTACTCCCTCCTATAGGGTGTCTCCCTCTTGAGGGCCCTGCCCTAAGGCCCTACCTTTTAATACTGTCACAGTGATTGATCCAACATAGGAATTTTGGGGGGACATTCAGACCATAGCGGGCCCTCCCTAATCCCACTCTTCTTCCCAGCTTGGGCTATAGTGGGACCACTTTGCTGTCTGCCCCTGTGTGGGAGGGTTTAGAGGCTGAGTGGAGTATGTTGTTTAGCTCACCCTCTCATTGCTTCTCTGAGTGTTAGTGAGCATCTACCTTGTGCCTGGCCTGCACTGTGCTGAAGATCCAGAGATAAGTAGGACTTGTCCCGGCCCCAGAAATGTTCTCAGTAGGGTAGGGGAGGTGGACAGGAAGGGTAGTATGCCATGCAGGTGTGGCTGGGATTCCCCAAAGGAGAACTGGGGACCCAATACTGGGTCCTGAAAGATGAACAGGGAGTCAGCAGGGTGGTAGGGCTGGGAAGGGCATTTCTGGGTAGGCAGGTACCTGGGTGCCTCCTGATCCAGGGAACAGAGGATGTGCAGCAAGAGGGCAGGGCACAGGGGAGCTGTGCTTAAGCTGAAGGAGCAAGGGGTCCTTTAGTAAGTGTTGTTAGGTGGGCGAGTGATGTGACCAGATTTGTGTTTAAACATCCCCAGGTAGGCCTGTGAGGAGACTGTTATGGTGGCCTAGGGCCAAGATGGAAGGTGTGGACTGAGGCCTCTCGGTGCGGGTGGGGAGTTAGGGCCAGAGGAAGCACAGTGGCCTCAGCTTTGAATTGGCTGGGGGGAGTGGGAGGAATGGTTCCAGGGGCTGTGCAGTGCCAGGCTGGGGGTGAGGACTAGAGGGAACAGGTTTGGGGAGAAGAGTTGCTTGAGACACACTGAATTATGATTTGGCTGGTGGCATTTTAAGAACTCTGGGCACAGTTCTAGAATTAGGGGGAGGCTGGGCTGCAGCAGGTTGAAGGTATTGAAGCTGTGGGGGGGGAGGGGTAAAGTTGGCCAGGAGGAGAAAGAGTGGGCTAGGAGGTTGACTGAGGGAACAGCAATGATGGGGGTGGATAGGGGTCCCAAGAAGAGGTCCAAGGGACATGGGGAAGGTGTGGTGGCCCTGAAGCCCAGGGGGACAGAAGTGAGGAACTAGCAGTGGGGTAGGGCGCTGCCTAGGGCTCAGTGAGATCCAGATTATGGAGCATCCAAGAGCTTTGAGCTGAGAGCTCACCTGACTCTGATAGGGCAGGGTCTGGATCAGCAGGTGTCAGCCAGGATGCTGAGGGCCTCAGGAATAGCTGGGAGTGGAGAGGAGAGAAGGTCCTCCAGGGCATGTGGGGAGTGTAGAGCCCAGGTGAGGAACTGGTTTGAGGCACAGAAGAACATTTGTCACTTGAGACTGAAAGGAAGGAGGAGAGGTTTTGTGTGGTTAGAAGTGAGCTAGTGGATGGTACCTGTGACTCAAGGAGTAGGGCACCAGCCCCATATGCTGAGGGTAGCAGGTTTGAGCCCAGCCCCAGCCAATACTACAAAAAAAGAAGTGAGCTACTGAGTAGGTAGTAGGTGGCAGGGAAGTGAGAGACCCCACCTGGTGACTTCTGTTCTCTTGCAAAGTAGGTGGGGTGATTTGTACAGGAGACGTTGATCTGGGCAGAGGCCTTAGAATGGGTTGTCCTCTGTACAAGCTGTCTGGACATTCCCAGTGGTGCCCCTAACAGCTTGACTGAGGTTGTACTCTGGGTAGAATGTGGCCCTTGGAACGAGTTGGCAGGCTGGGAGTTTCTTCAGTAGTGTAGCCACCTGAGTATGGTGTGGAGAAGGCAGCCTGTGGGACACACTTGGGATTCCTGTAGAGTGAGCCTGACACCTTCATGAAGCTTCAGGACCATGTGGGCATCCCCAGCTCTGAGAGGCTGAGCTCACTTCACAGTCTGGGGGCCCCCTCCCTAGCCTGGCCCCTGCAGATTTAGGGCTCAGGTTCCTCCCTGAGTTGGGGAGTACCTGGGCTTACTCCTGGGTTCTGGTGGGCCCACCCCAGATGGGGCGGCCCTGAGAGAGCCCCTGCCAGGTCATAGGGTCTCAGCGGGAAGGCACTTTTGTGGGTGGGAGGTTTGAATCCTGCCTCTTTTCCCTTGTGTGACCTTGAGCCAATTACTTAACCTCTCTAAGCCTTGGTTTTCTCATCTACACAGTGCGAATAGTGACAACATATGACCACTCCCTGAGGGGTTATGTCCCAGGCACTATGCTAAGCACTTTATACACTTTATTTCATTTATACCTCTTGTCAGTCTTAGCAGGTAAAAACTGATGTCATACTTTTCAGGTACAGAGAGGTTAAGTGACTTGTCCCAGTTACTGTAGGGCCCAGCCTGGCCCCAAAACCCATGCTGGTGTCTCCTCTGCTGAGGGCTTCCTTGATGAGCAGAATGGGGACTGAGTCCCCCAAGGCCCTCTGTCAGCACTTGCTGTCATGGTGCAGTGATGCCTGTGCTGTGTACCTGCAGAGGTGGAAGCCAAAGGAGACTCTGACAGGCTCACACCCGAGGAGCTGAAGAAGTTGGTGAATAAGCCAGAGCTGCTGGCACTGACAGAGAGCCTCACTCCGACCCAGACAGTGGCGTTCTGGGTGCCTGAGTCAGAGATGGCGTCAATGGAGCTCGAGCTTGGGGCCGGGCTACGGCTGAAGACTCAGGGTGATGGCCCCTTCCTGGGTGAGCAGTGTGGCCCTCATTCTGGCCCTCACACAGTTCCTGTATAGCCCACGGGGCTCCTGGGCTCCCTTCTCAAACTCCTTATCCCTCCTGCTTAGAGCTCATGGGAGCAGGCCAGTTCTGGCCTCCATGTGGACACAAAATAGGTAGGGTTGAGATTTATTCCTACATCCCTAGCCCAGTGCCCTGAGGTCATTAGGCTAGATGCCATCAGTCCCAGGGTACCACCCAATTCCAAGGTTCCTGTGGGTGACCTCTCCCCACTGCCCTGGGGGTCCTACCTAGAGCCTCACTGACCACACCTAGGGCTGGCGAGAACAATGGCTTAACCTAAGCATACAGGGCCCCCCTCCCCCCTGCCAGGGGGGGAAACATAGTTGGAATAAGCCCAGCCCCAACTATGTTTCTGGCACAGGGATAGAGGACATTCACCTTTTCTTCTTTCAGAGTCATTGGTCAAACTTGAGTCTGGAGCAGTGACCAAGTGTAATTTTGCTGGTGATGGAAAGACAGGGGTATCCTGGACAGACAACATCATGGCCCAGAAGTCATCAGAGAGGGCAACAGCAAAGATCCGAGAGCAGGGGGATGGGGCAGAGGATGAGGAATGGGTAGGTCAGGGGATAACTTTGTCCCTGGTGTTATGTATAGTTATACTTCATGGCAGGAGTTTTGTACATACTGGTTGAGGTTGGGGGTAGGACAAAGAGAAATCAGGATTTGGTAGAATTCCTGAGAATGTGTTAGCATCAGGAAGATCCCCTGAAGGTATGAAGGGTGATGTCTTGGGACTTCTCTTGTTGATGGGTGTAAACTGTAAAGATCTATAAAAGCAAGTGATGGGAAGGAGGGAGCCAATGAGGGTATTAAGTCTCAAAATATTTGTACTTCGAGGGAATGCATAGCCATGATGAGGCAATCCAGCCATTGAGTGTGTGTTTTTTTCTCCTTTGGTTCTGGCTTCTTGCCCAAAGTGCCTGGAAAATGGCTGACTTGGCCCTTACTAGTTTTCCTTGTGCCAGGGGTTAGCCTCCATAGCCTCAGCCTATTCACGATTGTTTTCTGAGCCATATTTTGCCTGAAGATTTGAACTGATGGCAGAAAACCCCAAAGTGAACATTTAAAGCAAAGTCACAGAAAAAATGGGCTACTTATCTAGATGATGGAGATGACGTTGGCCAGAGAAAACAGGGCAGGCAGACCACGTGTCTGGATTCTCTCCATCTTAATAAAGAGTCTTGCACTGAAAAAGAGTTGGGGTTATTAGTCCAGCTTCCAGGGAGCTCTGAGGAGGTGAGACCAAGGCAGGGGGCCCCACAGGTAGCACATAGTGGAACCCCTGTTTGTCTGATGACCTTTATAATCTGTGCTGTGTGCACATCTTTCTATTTTTATTTCTTGGATTTCTCTAGGACGACTGAGGTTAGTGGCATGTGGATGCCTCTGGTGCCAACCAGAATCTTCTGTGGCACAGTAGAGAATTTATTCCATAACTTCCACTCTGGAGCTGGAGAGAGCAGTCCGCCAAGCCTTCTCTACTGCTGCCTTGGAATACCCTGTGTACAAGCTCTGCTAAATCAAACGGAAGATGGAATGTTGCCTCTAGGGTCCGTGCTGTGTGTCTCATGCCCTGCCACGCGGTCCAGCCTTCTTCAACATTTTCATCATGCCCTTGCCCTGGAGGGCAGCTTTGTTTCTGAAGGCAGGTGGTAGTCAAGTCCCCCAGTGCAATCTCAGGGGAACTGCACTTGGTCTTAGTGCATAATTAGGGGATATCCCTTATCTAAACAGAGCTGCTTGGGGGAGAAGGTGGTGGGCCTCTTCCTTTGTCTGGTTCCCTGGTCTCCCATGCCTCCCCCTCTTCAGCACTCTGGTGTAGCCCTGGCTCTTCTGCTTTGAACTTCCTTGTCCTCTGTACCTTTTCCCCAACCTGTGGGTTCTTTATTCCTCCCCTGATTTCCTAGGATTTCCTGTCTGCCCTCCATGGTTGCTGCCTTCTGGACTTTTTCCCATTTGAGGCCAACAGTGCTCACGGGTGGGCTGCTGGGCCTCACCACTCAGGCTCCCTCTGCCAGGCCATATTTTTGAGAATACCTTTTTTGTTGTTTTGTACCTTGAAGATTCATTTTTATTAATGATTGAATCTTCAGAAGAGAATTGCCACACATAATTGTCTTTTAGCTGAGCAATGCTTCCATGAGAGGGAAGCTGTCTTTGATCATGAGGACTGCCTTAGAGGTCTGGAGTGAAATTGCCATGTCCTAAGGATTTGGTGGCATGTGGATGCTGCTTGGCTTAAGGAAAAGAAAGTGGTGAACTAATAAATCTTGAGTCCTCCTAGTGTCTCAAATATGGTGCCAGATGCTTTCCATGATAATTATGCCCACTGTCTGTTGAGTGTTTCTTGGTACTCAGTGCTTGCAATGTCTTACTCAGTTGTCAAAACAAGTCTCTGAGATACCATGATAATTACCACATTTTTTCATATGAGACTAAAGCTCAGAGGCTCCACGGATAGTGCACAGAGGAGAGAAGCAGTTTAAAAGCCCATATTCTTTGGCTCAGTTCCTATAGCTCAAGCGGCTAAGGCGCCAGCCACATACACCAGAGCTGGTGGGTTCAAATCCAGCCGGGCATTGTGGCGGGCACCTGTTGTCCCAGCTATTTGGGAGGCTAAGGCAAGAGAATTGCCTAAGCCCAGGAGTTGGAGGTTGCTGTGACCTGTGAGGCCATGGCACAGCTTGAGACTGTCTCAAATAAATAAAAAATAAAAGTCCATATTCTTAATTATAGGACTATTCTTCCATGTATGTATTACAGAGGAGGAAAAGAGGCTCAGAGAGTTTAAACAGTCTGTCCCAAGGCATACAGCTAATAAGTGGCAGAGCCAGGATTCAAATCTAGAACTGTCAAGGGCAAAGATTGTACTCCTGCTTCCGTGGCCTACAGAAGGGTCTTGGATACAGAGGCCAGAGGGGGCAGTAGCCATCTCACTGGTCTGAGTGCTGCTGTCTTACAGGCAGGTCATGCTGGAACTTCAGCAGTGGGAGTGGTCAGGAAGGTGGTTGAGCAGAAGGGGACTGAACTGGGGGCACTGACTAGGGGTGGAGTCATCCAGCAGGGGGCATTCTACTGTCCAAACCACAAGGGTAAGCTACTGTCCAAAGAAGGAGTGTCAGTGGGGTGGGGGGGGTTTCTAAGGCAACAGAAAGGGTTTAGTGTTTTGGAAGGACTTCAGGAAGGGGCAGGCCATTGTGGGTAAGCTCAGATGAGTTACAGGGGTGTGTGTATGAGGTGAGACTGGAGCTTGGGCAGGGCATCTTCAGGCAGATTAAAAAATTGGGGGCTTTATCCTTAACATCGTGGAAGCCAGTGACACTGTGGAGAGATCTGCTTTGTATGTTTCAAAGATTGCTCACTTGCTGCAGTTGTCCAGGTAAGAGGCCAGAGTGGTCTGGTGTGTGGCAGTAGCTGGGAGATGGAAAAAGGGTAACGGTTTGAGGGACATTTCAGGGGCCAGAAGCAACAGGACCTAGGGAGAGAAGAAAAAGTTGAGATGATGCCTGGAGTTAAGGTGAATGGAAGTGGTGTGGTGCACGAGCAGGATGTCATGGTTCTGGGTGACCTGCCCTTTAGCAGAATCCCAGTCTATGGTTGGGAAGCATAGGCAGCTGAAAACCAGCACTCCTAGGATGGGAAAGCCAAGTGGCCCGGGGATAAAAACAAGGTTCCAGGCTTGGCACCTGTAGCACAGTGGTTACGGCGCCAGTCACATACAGCAAGGGTGGCAGATTCTATCCCAGCTCAGGCCAGCTAAACAACTGCAACAAGTATCCGGGCGTTGTGGCAGAGTCCCAGCTACTTGGGAGGCTGAGGAAGAGAATTGCTTAAGCGTAAGAGTTGGAGGTTGCTATGAGCTGTGACACCATGGCACTCTACCGAGGGTAGCATAGTGAGACTCTGTCTCAAAAAAACAAAAACAAAATGAAAAAACCCACAATGTTCCATGATCAGCAGGTAGGGAAACTGAGGCAAAATCTTATTTCCCCAGAACCAGGAAGGGAGAGGATGGACAGTTGCTCAGGGCTGCATGGGCACCAGGGCGCATCCTAGCACCCTGGATAGAAGACCCAGAACAGCAAAACTCTTAAATGCCCTACAGATGGTGAGACCAAAGCCCTTGGTTTCACTGTCCCTCCTGCCCTGGTCAGAACTGGCTCTGGTTTTAGGGTGAGTCTGGCCACTGGGCAAAAGTGTCAGTGTACCTGTGGGAAGCTGAGAACACGAGGCAGGAGCTGACGGGGGCAGCTTTCTGAAACCAGAGTGGATCCCACTACTCTCCAGGGGAAGAGTTGAAGTTCCTCCACACAACTCAGATTTGCATCACACATCACAGCCCTCCTTTTTCTGTTGCTTCCTCTTCATGAGCTCTGGGCCACATCCCAGAGCAGCCTGAAGGGTCTGCTACAAGTTATTGTGCATGAAAAACAGAAAGTGGTGGTGGTGTTTCTGTGATCCAGTGCGTAGCTTTGACATTAAATTAAATAGGCATTTCTGTAGGATTTCTCAGAGCTTTTAGTATGCTAATATTTTAATTCTTCAAGATAGGATATGATTACACATTTCCCATGTCTACTTGACCATAGAGCCTTTGTGTAAGGAGCATCTCATGGGAGGGCTGTTCTGAGAAACATGGTTTCAACAGGCAGCCTTGGCGCCTTGGCCATCCCCACTTCGTTGCTTAGCTGGGGCTCTGCTCTTGGGGGAGGTCTCTTTTTCCTATACGTCTGAATTTCTATTTTTCCTCCAACATCTAGCTTGTGTCCCATCCCAGGGTTCAGTGATGGAAATGGACAAGTTACTTTCTATTTTCAAATAGACCCAAGTAAACCTCTGAGCTTCCATTCATACAGGAAAAATTTTTGAGGATTAAACTAATCATAAATAGCAATGCATTACAAAAATATATTTAAAGAGGAAAAAAGACTCATAATTTTACTTAGTCATGTTTATAATTTTTAGTTTTTTTGCTTTTTAGTATGAAATTTCTATACATAGTTGTAATACCATGCCCACACATAAATTTGATACTGCTTTTCCAATAAATGTTACATAATTACTTTCCATGTTGCTACATAATCTTCAAAACCATTAATTTTAAGATTGACTACCATTGAATAAAGAGTTCTGTCATAGTCCAATTTTTAGATATTTAAATTGATCACTGGGCGGTGTCTATGGCTCAAAGGAGTAGGGCGCCAGCCTCGTATGCTGGAGGTGGTGGGTTCAAACCCAGTCCAAAACTACAAAAAAAAAAAAAAAAAAAAAAAAATAGCCAGGCATTGTGGCGGGTGCCTGTAGTCCCAGCTACTTGGGAAGCTGAGGCAAGAGAATCGCTTAAGCCTAAGAGTTTGAGGTTGCTATGAGCCGTGACGCCACGGCACTCTACTGAGGGCATCATGGTAAAACTCTGTCTCAAAAATAAATAAATAAATAGATAGATAGATCACTAGCTAATATAGGTAATGTTTCAAAAAATGTTCAAAACAATATAGTTCTGTCAGCCACCCCCCTATGCACCATATACATGCATGCATGCACACATATACATGCTATATTTTGGGTTTTTTTTTTTTTTTTGAGACAGTCTCACTTTGTCACCCTCAGTAGAGTGCCCACAGCTCACAGCAACCTCCAGCTCTTGGGCTTGGGTGATACTCTTGCCTCAGCCTCCCAAGTAGCTGGGTCTACAGGCGTCTGTCATAACGCCTGGCTATTTTTTTGCAGTTTGGCTGGGGCCGGGTTTGAACCCGCCACCGTTGGTATATGGGGCCAGGTGCCCTGCCCACTGAGCAGCAGGCTCTGCCCGGGGTCATTTCTTTAGGAAAAGATTCCCAGGAGTTCAGATGACTGGGAATCCATGAATGTTTTGTAACGTTCTTGTTATTTTGCCAAATTGCTTCCTCAAAGGTTTGTTCTAAACTATTAATTTTCACAAGCAATGTAGGTGAGAACCATTTTCATGCTATCCTTGTCACCATTTGGTATGAAAACATTTTTTAAAAATGCTATTTGAGAAGGTGAAAATAATACTTTCACACATCTAAATTTGCCTTTCCATTTATAGTGAGCTGAAATAGTTTTTTTTTCATTTCTTAGAAGTGTTTCCTCTTTTGTTACTTGGTTACTTTGCCCATTTATCTACTGGGGTGTCTTTCTTTTTGGTTTATCAGAGTTATTTTTATTTTAGTATAACTGTTTGCCACATTTTAACAACTTTTTCCATTTTTAAAATTCTTTGCACAGACAAAACTAATATCTTTATTTAGATGTATCTAACTTTTGTAATTTTTATTATTTCTAAGCTAATACATATTCTCTTTTCAGATGTTACTCAATTTTCTCCAATTTTGGTTATTACCTGTTCTTTTATATTTAATACTTACCTGGTATTTTCCAATTACTAACCAGTTACCCTGTTTACTGAATTCTTTCCCACTGTCATGATGTCTCCCACATCACATATTAAAATTATTTTATGCCTAAATTATAATACTTCAGTAAGTCTCCCTATTATAATTTGAACCATCATACTGGTTTTAATAGTTGGTAAGGCTAATTTCTCTTCATTATTCTGTTTTAGAATTTTCTAATTTCCTCAACATTTGAAACATTTTGTGAGGATTTAGTACAATTGCTTTTAGAATTTTATTTTACAAAATTAATATTTGAGAAAAAAATCCTACTACCTAAAGATGTTTTAAAATCATTTATATAGTACTCAATTATGTGCCACACACTGTTCCATGTGCTTACAGATAGACTCCCTTTGTGTTTATGACAACTGTCTTCATGGTAAGTATTAAGGAAGCTGTTATTATGCCCATTCCACAGATGATCAAACTTGCCCAAGATCCCCAGGCAGTCAGCAGAGTCCGGATTTTAATGAGAGCATTATGGTTCCACTGCCCTGTGCCAGTCAAACCCTCTGGCATGCCATTACATCAAGTACAGTATTAGTATTTTGATGTATTTACTTCCATCTTGTACAAAGTGGGTTGCCTCTGTACATACTCTGAATAATCTTTTCACTTAACAAATATGAACACCTCCCTGTATCATTAGTCGTTCACATCCGGTTTTTTAATAACTATTGAATATTTCTCATTGCATGTAACCAATTTCTCATTTTGGAATAGTTTGCTTCCTATTTTTCTCCTTTGACAACACTGCTGCGATGTATGTTCTTGAAACTAAATCTTTTCACACATCCGTAATCATCTTATTGTAAATTCTAGAGCTGGAAACACTAGGTCTGACGTCATATTTTTAAAGGCTTTTGATGCACAGTACCAAACGGTCCTTTGGATAGATTTGCAGCTGTCTGCAGCTCCACATCTATTGTAGGGACGTGCTCTACCTTACCCACACTAGGTCATTAAAAGAAAAAGCAAAAACAGTAAGTTGACCAATGTGGCATCGTCTGGACCTTTTACGTAGAATTTCACTAAAAAGCCCTAACTCCACCATTCACAAGCTACCGTGGAGCAACAGCCCCCTTACACAAGACAACTGTGTAATTTACTGCAGCAATGTAACACTGAACAAAATGAACTGAACGTCTCTTAGCCGGGGAATGGATAAGTTAACCCGCGAGTGCACCCGCGGGGCCTTCTGCACACCCGCGGGGAGGGTGGAGGTGTGCCTGTCGCAGGGTGAGGCAGGCCGCGCCGCCCGGTTTCGCTTCTGGATCTGCTTTGCCGACAGATGCCGCGGCCAGCGGATTCCCATCCGGGCCAGGGTCTGACTGATCAACCCACGCGGTGGAAGCGCCCTCCCTCCTGGGGCGAGACTGCTGCAGTCTCCAGAGAGTCCACAAGGTCGGACCCTTCGGCTCTCGAGCTCCTGAACGCCCCGGCCACGTTTCCGGGTGCTGCTCTAAGCCGCACCTACCGGAAATGCCCGTGTTGTGGCGGAAGAAGCTGCTTTCTGGGAGCAGCCGACGCTGAGAAAGCGTGGCCGGCAGAGATGATTCAGGCGATTCTGGTTTTCAACAATCATGGGAAGCCGCGGCTGGTCCGCTTCTACCAGCGTTTCGTGAGTGCAGCCCGGCTTCGCCGTGCCCTCCAGGGTGCCCGCACGCTCCTTCCTCCCCTCGGGCCCTCTACGCCGTGGGTCCCACTCGCCTTGCACCTCAGGCTCAGGGTGCAGGACTCACTTTCGCCACCCTTCCTGGGCTCGGCCGGCGCGCGCCTTCCGTCCCTCCGCCCGCTGCCCCCTCTTCTCGGAACCATTTCTGCACCCTAGTATTTCCGTGCCATTTTGTGCCTTTTCCCCTTGGGTCTCAGGGCAGCAGGTATAAGCGACAGTGGGACGTACCTCCTTGTGAAACGGAACGATCGACGTCACTTTATTTAAATCTTTTTGGCCGTTGACGGCAGTTTTGCGAGGAGGGGGGAGCGTTCAGCTTGAAGTTTTGTTTTAGCCAGAGAGGATCTGGAAAAATTCTTTTTTTGGAATTATTTTGCTTCATTGTTCAATGGAATATTCTCGGATACCCTCACGCTATAGGGTTGAAGGACGTTTAAAAGTGGGGAAATGAGAAATTACAAATGCTGCCGCGTGAGGGCTCACTAAGCGAGTGATCTTGTGGATTTGAATTTTCCAAAACCCTTCCGCTGGTAAAACCCAAACGTTTTTCTCCTACCTCCTGAGAATTTATTTTTTCGTGGCTATTTATTTGGGGGATTAATGAAACTGAAGAGGGAAAAGAGAAAACACGTTCAGGCCTTAGCTCCACCTTTTCTACTCTGGTGTTTATAGACAAGTAACTAATAACAAAACCTTTTTTAGACTTTTTTTTTTTTTTTTGAGACAGAATCTCTGTCACTCAGGCTAGTGCGGTGGTGGCGTCATAGCTCACAGCAACCCTCAAACTCTCGGGCTCAAGGGATCCTCTTGCCTCAGCCTCCAGAGTAGTTGGGACTACAGGTCCCGCCTCAATGCCTGGCTAGTTTCTTTTATTTTTAGCGGAGACTGGGGTCTGGTTCTTACTTAGGCTCGTCTGGAACTCCTGGGCTCAAGCTGATCCACCTACATTCGCCCTCCCAGTGTTAGGATTACAGGCGTGAGCCACCGCACCCGGCCCCTTTATCAGACATTTATTCCCTCTTTTGTCAAGTGGAAATGAAAAAGTAAATTCAGCCAGGCGTGATGGCTCACGTCTGTAATCCCAGCACTGTGACAGGCTGAGGCAGTGGACTGCCCAACCTCAGGAGTTTGAGACCAGCGTGAGCAAGAGAGAGACCTGTCTCTAAAAATAGCCAGGTGTGGTGGGGAGCTCCGTGGGGGGCTCCGTGTCTGGCTCCTGTAGTCTCAGCTACTTGGGAGGCTGAGGCAGAAGGATAACTTGAGCCCAAGAGTTTGAGGTTGCTGTGAGCTATGCCAAGGGTGACAAAGGGAGACTCTGTCTCAATTTAAAAAGAAAAAGTAAATTTACTCCTTCATAGAATTTTGATTACATTTTATTAAATAGATTACATCAAGGTAAAGATTTTTGTGTGTTCAATGTAACAGGTCAGTGTGTGTTTGCATTTAGTGTGTGGGACCTTCCCCTGCCCCAGTTTTTTGTAATGGGTTATTGAGATATAAGTCACATACCAGATAGTTCACATATGTAAAGTGTACAATTCAGTGGTTTTTAATATGTTAGCAGAGATGTGCACCCATCACAATTGTAGAATACTTCTTTATCCCAAAATAAAACCTCTATCCATTAGCAGTTGCTCCCTTTTCTCTACTAACATTCCAGCCCTAGGCGACCACATGTCTACTTTCTGTGTCTCTAAATTTGCCTATTCTGAATGTTGCATTTAAATGGAATCATAAAATCTACAATCTTTTGTATCTGTCATGCTTTAGGATAATGTTTTCAAGATTTATCCATTTTGTAGCATATGTCTTTGTAAAGTGTTTCCCCAGGCCAGTATCTTCAAGTGTTTTTCTCATGCTTTCCTTGAGGATTTTTATCATTTCGTGCCTTAAATTTAGGTCTTTTACCTATCTTGAATCAATTTTTGTGAGTAGAGAAAGATGTGGGTCCAGTTTCAGTCTTTCACATGTGCATATCCAGTTCTCCCAGCACCATTTATTGAATAGGAATTCTTTCCCCCAGTGTATGTTCTTGTTTGGTTTATCAAAGATTAGGTGGCTGTAATATGTTATTTTCATCTCCTGGTTTTCTATTCAGTTCCAGCTGCCAGTGTCTCTGTTTTTGTGCCAATACCATGCTGTTTTGATCACGATGGCCTTGCAGTACAGCCTAAAGTCTGGTAGGCTGATGCCCACCCCCCCCACCCCACCCCGCTTTGTTTTTATTACTAAGACCTGTCTTAACTATACAGGTTTTTTCTGGTTCCATACAAAATGAAGAATTATTTTTTCCAAGTCTTTAAAGTATGATGTTGGTATTTTTTTTATACTTTTTTTTTTTTTTTTGGTTGGGGATTCATTGAGGGTACAAAGAACCAGGATAATTTTTTTTTTTTTTTGCAGTGTTTGGCCGGGGCTGGGTTTGAACCTGCCACTTCCGGCATATGGGGCCAGTGCCCTAATCCTTTGAGCCATAGGCACTGCCCCGATGTTGGTATTTTAATAGGAATGACATTGAATCTGTAGATTCCTTTGGGAAACATAGACAGTTTCACAATGTTGATTCTTCCCAGCCATGAGCATGGTATGTTCTTCCATTTGTTAATTTCTGCTATTTCTTTTCTTAGGGTTTCATAATTTTCTTTATAGAGGTCCTTTACCTCTTTTGTTAGGTATATTCCTAAGTATTTCATATTCTTTGTAGCTACGATGAAGGAGATTGTGTCCTTAATTAGCTTCTCATCTTGCCTGTTATTGGCATATACAAAGACAACTGATTTGTGGATATTGATTTTATATCCTGAGATATTACTGTGTTTTTTGATCACTTGCAAGAAAGAGTCAGGTGGTTGAGTCTTTGGGATTCTCTAAGTATAATACCATATCATCAGCGAAGAGGGAGAGTTTGACATCCTCTGCTCCCATTTGGATGCCCTTTATTTCCTTCTCTTGCTTGATTGTATTGGCTAGAACTTCCAGCACTATGTTGAATAGTAGTGGTGATAGAGGACAGCCTTGTCTGGTTCCAGTTCTAAGTGGAAAAGCTTTCAGTTTTACTCCATTCAGTAAAACATTAGCTGTGGGTTTGTCATAGATAGCCTCTATCAGTTTGAGAAATGTGCCACTTATGCCTTTATTCTTCAGTGTTCTCGTTAGAAAAGGATGCTGGATTTTACGAATGCTTTTTCTATATCTATTGAGAGGATCATATGGTCTTTGTTTTGCTTCTGTTGATATGGTGGATTATGTTTATGGACTTGCATATGTTAAATTAGCCTTGAGTCCCTGGGATGAAACCTTGATCATGATGTATGACTTTTTTGATGAGAAGCTGTGATCTATTGGCTAGGATTTTGTTGAGAATTTTTGCATTCGTGAAATTAGTGCATTAGTGAAATTGGTCTGAAGTCCTCCTATTTAGTTGAGTCTTTTCCTGATTTTGGTATCAGGGTGATGTTTGCTTCGTAGAATGTGTTGGGGAAGATTTCTTCCTCTTCATTTTTTTTGAATAATTTCTGTAGTATGGGAATAAGCTTTTTGAAGTTTTGATAGAATTTTAGTGTGAGGCCATCTGGGCCAGGGCATTTTTTTGCTGGGAGTTTTTTTTTTTTTTAGAGTCTCAAACTGTCCCCTGGTAGAGTGCTATGGTGTCACAGCTCACAGCAACCTCAAAGTCTTGGGCTTAAGTGATTCTCTTGCCTCAGCCTCCCAAGTAGCTGGGATTACAGGTGCCTGCACAATGTCTGGCTATTTTGTTGTTGCAGTTGTCATTTTTGTTTAGCAGATCTGGGCTGGGTTTGAACCCGTCAGCCCTGGTGTATGAGGCCTGTAACCACTGAGCTACAGGCGCCGAGCCTGTTGGGAGATTTTTTATTGTTTCTTTGATCTCCGTGCTTGAAATTGGTCTGTTAAGGAGATCTGTTTCTTCCTGGCTAAGTCTAGGGAGAGGGTGTGATTCCAAATTATTGATCCATTTCCTTCACATTGTCAAATTTCTGAACATAGAGTCACTTGTAGTATTCAGAGATAATCTCTTGTATCTCTGTGGCATCTGTTATTTCCCTTTTACTATTTCTGTTGAGGTTTTTAGAGGTTACTGAGGTTACTGAGGAATGACTAGCATATGTCATTCCTTTTTATTGCTAAATAATATGGATTGTCTAATCCATATTCTAAATAATATGAATATCAGTTTCTGTTTCTACTTTTTGGTGACAAAATCTTGCTCTGTTGCCTAGGCTGGAGTACAGTGGCCCAATCACAGCTCATTGCTACCTCAAACTCCCCCTGGATCCAAGCCATCCTCTGCCTGAGCTTCTGGAGTAGCTAGGGTTATAGGCATAAGCCACCATAGCTGTCTCTTTGGCTCTTTTGAGTAATACTGCTGTGAACATTGTGCAGGTTTTGTGTGGACATATTTTTTCATTTCTCTTGTAACATATATATACCTAGGAGTAGAATTGCTAGGTCATATGGTAACTCTGTGGTGAACATTTTGAGGAATTTGCCAGGCTGTTTTCCAAGTGGCTGTACCTTTTTACATTTCTGGACATTTTAGCAGTGTATAAAGGTTTCAGTTTCTTCCCATTGCCCCTAACATTTGTTATCTGTCAAAGAATAAATGCATGTTAGTGGGTGCAAAGTGGTACCTCGTTGTGGTTTTGATTTCTATTTCCATAACGATTAATGATATTGAGCATCTGTTCCTTGGCTTAATGTATCTTTGGCAATCACAGGGTTTTTATGAGACCCTCATTCATGAAAGTACCTTGAAAACTGCAGAATACTAAAAAGATATGAGAGGCTATTAAAATCTCTGAGGCATGTAAGCAATTGGTAGTTT